ATAAATGTGCAGATTTTAGTATTGTTCATAAACTTTACTGCCTGTTATTATGGGAAGGAGTTATACTTCATCTTCAAGATCAATCCTGTGATTTTCTTTGGACATAGGAATGTGCACAGAAGTGATTGATGCTACTTCCACACAGAAGTTTTACAAGTCATTTTGTGACCCTACCCCCTTTCTTCACTCTTCACTCAACCATAATGAGCCAGTAGGGGATACTGAGGGGTAGAGTTGTGGCCATCCAGCTGGAGTGAAAAATATACCTTTGTTCTTATAAGTCAGAGAAGTTTGGGGATTTTTTGTTACTGCATCATAATTGAGTCTAAGCTGACTACTACATAGAGAAACTGGTCTGTACCTCTCACCTCCCCATGGTCAACACTTGGGTTAGGGGCAAGCAGGTTGGGGAAAATATACATTTTGGGGGGATCTGAGCACAGTGGAGGATCTACACATCAGTTCTTCAGTGAGGGCTAGGAGTGAGAAAGCTCCCAGAGATCCCCGGCTTTCTAAGACATGGGAGTAGTAAAGATGCCTGCATAGAGTCTGCAGTGCTTACGCACCGTCCTGCAGTGGCCCTAGACCTCCCTGCACCAGGCCATGTGCAATGATGCATGTAAGTGTGTGCCGTGAGGGTGCACAGAAGTACCTGGAAGAGCTGGATGTGAAAGCTGTTGGGATCAAAGACGATAAGAAGGAAGCTATGGCCAAGATGTGGAATAAATAAGCCCTGAATTACCTGAAATTTAATTTTTGCCATTAGAGAAATAGACTTAAAATTAAAAGTAAGTGCATTTGAGGGAGGAGGAAGTGGAGGAAATGGAGGAAAAATAATAAAAAAAAATTATATTCTTACTTAAGTGTTGACCTTTTGACCTTACGTTGATCACATGACTTGCTTTCCCAAACAAAACACAGGCTTTTTACTTGCTTCAACAATGTCATACTATTTATTTGAGATATGTTTCCATTGAAATCTGATAGTGCATTTAGGAGCCCCTGAATTAGAGTGGTTTCAGCATCTTCATTCTGAGTCCGAGTGGTTGCTGGAGCTACCCTGTCCACCTCAGGAGTCATGAGAGACATTGGGTTACTTAATTTTAAGTTAAGTTAAATAAAATTAGAAATTTATTTTCCTCAGCTATACTAGCCACATTTCAAATACCCAGTAAGTAACATGGTGGCCAATGGCCACCATGTTAGACAGTGTGAAATAACATCTCTGTCATCACAGAAAGCTCTGCTGGACAGTGCTGGTCTCGAACAGAATTCAGAATACAGGGTCCAGCACAAGAGACAAAACCAGGCAGGAGGTGACAGGCTATCCCTTCCTCTCTGGAATCAATATATATATATATATATATAATGTTTTTTTAAATTGCTATTGGCCTAGAAAGTCCTAAAGCTTCCAGTATTTAATATGTCCAATACAACCTTCAGCACTCCTCTGTAACTCAGGCTCAGTATGATTTCGGCCAGTTGTTTAACTTGACCTCTCCAGGCTACTCTTTCCTCACCTACTACAAGAGGGTTAGAGTTTAAGATCACTAAGTTAGAAGTTTTCAGGAATCAATAAATCAACA